AGTATAGGAAGCATCATACTTTTAATCATACTTGATATTAAACTTACCCTAGACATGATACTAGGAATCAAAATAACAATCTAAACATGATATCTACATCATAATATCAATTAATCAATTAAAGTACTTACTTGGAAGCCTCGTACCTCTTTCTAATTACAAAATACACACGTTAGTAACTTCAAGGAAAATAATAATCAAAACAATTAAATTAAATAATTGAAAGAGAGATTTGGGATCAAACCCTCAGAAATTAAAATCTTTCACGTCTAGGGCGAAGGCAACTTCGAATATGGCTAGGTGTTTTTAGATCTTGTGAATGCGGAATTTTGTGTGAAAAAGTAAAGTATAAAAAAGAATGCTAAAAGACTAATATTATTGAAAATTGATGAATGAATGATGTAGATGAATGAAGAGAGTTAATGAATGAAGAGAGTTGATGAAAACTTAAGAATAAAGAGAATTGGTGAATCATAAAGTGATTGTTGATCCATGAAACCGGAGTTTTTGATACGATATTTATAGAGAAAAATATCCAAAAAAGATAATTTATCAAAACAGAGTCTGAAGATCGCAAAACCACCTTGGCGCCAGCCCTGGCTCATTGGCGCCAGGACCAGTGGCTAGCGCCAGGCGCCAATGGCTGGCGTCTGGCGCCAATCCTAATTCCAGGCGCCAAGGCCTGGGGTTGGACGCCAAATTGGATTTTAATGCGTTTTCGAAATTCTGATAAATTCCCCGTACTGGAAGATAAAATAATATAATTTCAATCGAAAATGCTATTTGATCTGATTAAAACTCTGAAGAATCCTAACTGAATTAAGAATGATAAAAACCTTCCAGAATGTTCTAGAAGACCAAAATCGTTCCTAATTACATTAGGAATGATAAATCATATTAGGCCCTCCCCTAGATCATTGGGCCGTACTTAAAGCTCAAACCGGGCCCAGTTTAGTAAATTGGCCATAACTTCCTCAATATTCATCGGAATTGGGCTTATAATATATCGTTGGAAAGGTCTTTGCAAACCCCATCCAACTACACCACTATCGGACCCATATCATGGACCAACCAAACTGGATTGGCTATTTTCTTAAAATAAAGTTTTCAAATACAGAGAGAAGAGAAAAGAAAAGAAATAAAACTTTCCGCAACACTAGACCTTTCCACACTTTCGTTTCATTCGATTATGATTCAACGTGAAAGGCACTCATCACTAGGTTTGGTTTTGGGGAGACACGAATGGGTGTCTACACATATCTAAAATAAAATTCTTAAAAATGACTTTTAAGGACGGTTGGACATCATGTATTCAAAATACTAGGTAGTTTTGATAAAACATGAAGTATTGAGTTGCAAACTCAAATTGTCAATATTGACAACCAACATATCTTTTCGTTTAATACATAGATGAGTAGGACTCATTGATGTAGTAATTTGAGCGTGAATTAAAGGAAAAGATGGAACTTTGTTTTACGGCGCATTAAATACTTAATTATGCCCTAACAAAGTATAAAATTCAAAGACCCTTATAGAAAAGGTTCTTAAAGATTATAAGATAAATTATGTTAAGAAATATAGGAAACGAGGAACAAAGAAAAGGAATGAGATTCCATTTTACTAAAGAATTCATGTTATTGAAGTTAACTTAACAACTCATTATCTTCACAAAGTATCGGATACTGCTTGAGCGTTCCACTTTGAAAGTGACCTCAAACTATTAAAGATAAGCTAAGTTATCGACTTACAAGCTTATAATGAAGCAAGTGGTGCTACATCAGTTGTAAGGTTGTATGCTTTATTTAAAGACCTTTAAGCTAAGGCTGGAGCAAATAAATGGTTATTGTGTTCCATAATCAGCAATTGATCCGTTTACACACGGAAAGACTCACATTCAAAGCAATGAGCAATAGTTGCAAATTTATTTAAATGGCATAGTTGTCTAAACCATGAGTCAAGAATGCTTGATTATAGACAAACATTTTCTTAACATGATAAACTGGAAAAAGCTCAAAGTCATGAGCATGATTTGCGCTTCGAACATCTTTAGCAATGTCACATCGACAAGAACGTACTCAAGGCTCTATTAGATAGGCTCTTGATAGTTGATCGATTCGGAATCGTTCTAAGACAAGCAAGTCTTACTTGTTGAAACCGACAAAGTAAAGAGCTATTGTTCTTGGTATAGACAATTAACTCCGAAAGCTAAAGAGGATTCATTTACTTCAACGTTTCACAAATAATTTGAAAGAATATGGTTATATTCATCAAACGTGAACAAACTTGACCTTGAATAGTTCAAGAGTTCAGTGAAGTACAGAATCGACTTGGCAAGATATCAAAACGTCTAGATTAGATAGAGCGATGTTTGCTTGAGCCAAGCGTGACCATCACAAAGTTATGAAATTGAAATTTTCATAAATAACTCCACAAAGAACATAGTGTGTCTTCACGGAGACCTCGATGCCATTTAAAAATGACTCGAACAATGATGGATCACATCCCTTCCTATAAAGTTCTTATGATTTGCACGAAGGACTAATGTCACACTTAACAAAATGTCGAAGCTATGAAAGGACGCCATATTCTGTTATGGATAGAATTATCTTCTAAATGTATTTTCAAGTATATGTCTAAAACTTATAGCCACGGTGAGAGTTCACTGGTTCAGTGGGAGCTAAGTGACTCAGTGGGAGCTCACTGACTTAGCAAGAGCTAGGTGGTTGAGTGGGAGCTCACTACTACAAAATTGGCCAAAGAGACCCATCCAAATAGGCCAAGGAGACTGCCTTAGAGGCGGTCTCTAGCTGTAGACACCTAAATGTGTCTCCCCAAATCCAAACCCAGTGATGAGTACCTTTCACGTCGAATCATAATCGAATGAAGTGAAAGTGTGGAAAGTCTAGTGTTGCGGATAGTTTTTATTTCTTTTCTTTCTCTTTGTTTTTGAAAACCTATTTTAAGAAAACAGCAAATCCAGTTTAGTTTAATCCATGGGACAGGTCCAAAAATATGTAATTGGGTCGAATTCGAAAAGAGCTTTTCAACGATATACTATAAGCCCAATTCTGATGAATAATGAGGAAGTTATGGACAAATTACTAAACTGGGCCTGGTTTGATATTTACATGCGGCCCAATGATCTAGAGGAGGGCCTAATATTGATTTGTCATTCCTAATGCGATTAGAATTGATTATAGTCTTCTATATTCTTTTAGAAGGTTCTTTTGAATCGTAATTTAATTAGCATTGATAAATTAACTTTAGTTGACTTTTTAGAGTTTTAATCAGAATAAGAAGTGTTTTTAAGGAAAATACGATTTTGCCCTCTCGTACGGCTAAATTTTTTCAAAATAAGAAACCGCGTGGAAAATTGGATTCCAGCGCCTGGCGACAGGACCAGCGCCTGGCGCCACGTCTAGCGTTTGGCGCCAGGGTCGTGGTTGGCGCTGCAATCATGTTTTAGTCTTTTCGAAACTCTGATTCTTTTTTATTATATTCGGCTGATTTTATCTATAAATAGCCTCCTAAAACCTCCGTTTTCAATCATCAATTCTCATCAATTTCCATCATCAATTCTCTCTATCACCAACTCTCATCAAGAATCTCTTGATTACTCTCTCTCTCTTTTCTAAACTAGTTTTTTTTCAAACAAAATTTCGCATTCACAAGATCTAGACACACCTAGCCAAGTTCGAAGTTGTCTTCGCCCTAGACGTGAAAGGTTTGATATTTCTGAGGGTTTGGTCCCAAATCTAGTCTAAACTTTCTTTAGCTTTTCTATTTCAATTATTTAATTTAATTGTTTGATTTATTATTTTCCTTGAAGTTACTAACATGTGTATTTTGTTATCATAAATAGGTACGAGGCATCCAAGTAAGTGCTTTAATTGTTTAATTGATATTATGATTTAGAAATCATGTTTAGATTGTTATTTTGATTCCTAGTATCATGTTAGGATGCTTTTCTTAGTATGATATTTAGGGTGATTTGCTTATATCAATTATGATTTCTATGATGCCTTTTATTTCTTTCCTAATATTCATGTTATTAGTATCATGTTAGGGCTAATAAAGCTTTGATATTTAATGTTTAGTGACATGCTAGGGTTTGTCATTAATCTTGTTAGTATGATGCCTAGGATCTTGCTATTATTATGCTTTAACATGAATTTTATGATTATAATTGTTATTATAATTATGATTATAATTGTTATTATAATTATGATTATGCTTTAACATGAATATTATGATTTATTGTTATTGCTTGGCCACGCCTTTTATGCATGTTTAAAGGGAATTGGTACTTGTAATCACACTTAATAAGATGATTAATAATCTTGTTTAGGGTTAATTTGATTATAATTCAAGTGATCGCCAATAATAGATTTATTTGTGCATTAATATTCAACCAACATAGATTAAACATGCTTAGTGTTAACCTATTGATTGCATGTTAGTCAGAAAGCGCACATAAATACGATCAGAATAAAGTAGAGGCCTATTATTAGGCAGGTTCAATCTCTTTTAGGTTGGATTTGTACATTCATCCCCGAACTACCGGTCATGGTTCCAGACCTATTGGAGCTGACAATCTCCTAGATCGTTAAGGGGTGCAACCTTCGCCCTGTGAACGGTTTACAAGTTTCTTAAAACTTGTTGGCGACTCTTTTGCTCTATCTTCTTTCCCTTTGGACGCCACCGTACTTAAGTGTATGATCACAGTGGGGTCTAAGTTTGGAGTAATGCTTGAAAAATTCCCTACACTAGCTAACCGGTCTTTTTGGCAAAGAGACTGCTTCATTGGAGGCGGTCTTAATTTTTATAAAATTTGAGACCTGACATCTATGATAGGCGGTCTCTCTTGGTAGTTGTAGATCAAATAAATAAGAAGCGAAGCGAAGAGAACCGTGTTGTCAGATAAACAGTCTCTTTTTTAGTTTCGCAGAGACCTGTTATTTTACAAAGGCGGTCTCTTGAAACATTTACTTTTAAAAAAAAATCCGAAAAAGCCAATTTATTCATTTAGTTGTCAATTGATAAAGTTTATGCATGTGTAAATACTTGGATACTATAATAGGTACATAATTCATACGCACTAAAACTTAAATCTGACTAAAATGAAAAAAAAACAACAAAAAATGCTATTTAATTACATATTTTGAATTATTCAGCATATAAATAAATCTCTTTTACTACAACATTAAATCCCACACCTGCCAAAAAAAAACCCCACCATTTTCGAGATTTTTGGAAAAACCCATAAGATATAGACCTCTAAAATTGTAGAAGATTGCTTCAACTTGTCACGTCCGGGTAAATAAATCAGATCTGGGTAGAAGTATTCAAATACAAAAAAATTAGAAGTCAAATGATAAGCATAAAAATTAATTTACAAAAATAATTAAAACAATAGTTGACACAAACAAATCTAAAATACTAAATTGAAACATAATAAAAGTATAAATGTAAAAAAAAAAAAAAAAAAAGAAGGAAGGAAGTAGGAGAAAGAGGATCGGAGATAACAACTATTGTAAACAAGTATAAGATTCATGTGAAACTTTGAACATTAGAAAAAAATACGTTACTCATTTTCAAACATTAAAACACAAGAAGCATTATAATATAAAAAATCTTAAATTTCATAACACAAAATGTTTCTAGATCTTGAGGAATAATTAACATATAAGAATTAGCTCAAGAACTAAAAAAACTAACCCAAAAAATTCAGGAATTTCAAAATCAAATTATAAAACTTAGAAAATAAATATACCCCGAAAAAACTACACTATCCCTACTGATTATGGTGAATAAAATAAAAAAAAATAACAAAATCAAATTAAAGTTTTTGCACCAGATCTCAAAAGCTCGAGCGAATTTTCTTGTTATCTACAGTTTTTTGGGATAGAACTTAAAGATCTAACCCAAATAAACTTATAGATAACAAGAAATTGAAGGGAAAAAAACCCTAGTTTTTACGCCACAGCAAAATAAAAAAAAAAGTGAAAAGGGAAAACTTCTCACCGATCAAGCTTTTGTGAAATCAAAGAGCTTAATTTTGGTAATTTTGTTTCGCCATCCCCCTTTCCTTTTCTTTGTTTATGGCTTCTCGATTTGAATCTTTATTATTTGGCTTGAATGAATAGGGTTTGAAGGAAGAGAGGGAAAGGGAGAAGGGAAATGAGCAGGGGTAAGTGGGTAACCGGGTAAGAGTGAAGAGGAGAGAGAAGCTAAAAAGACAGTGGTTTACAACTGTACATGGAAGCGAGAAAACAAGAGACCCGTCTTTAATGTTAACCGGTCTCTCTATTAAAAAAGGAAACCGATTATCCTAAAAAGTGGTCTCTGGTTTATTTTTTAAAATCATTTTTTTAAAAAAAAATTCGCAAGAGACCCGTCATCTTAAATAATAGGTCTCTCGAATAGTTTTATTCCACCAACAAATAAAGTAAGAGACCCGTTATTAATAATAAAAAGTCTCTTATATCAAAGAGACCGCTTATGTAGATAATAGGTCTTTTATATTGGGTCTCTTTGGCTAATTTTGTAGTAGTGGCTTAATGGCTCATTAAAGGCTAAGATAGCTCAAGTGGGAGATAACTTTTTGTTTTACAACAAAACTTTTACCCAAAGACAATATACATGTCTCTTTGTAAGCATTCAAGTGAGACCACGGGCATTACCTCCACAACCTAATTGAGAACATAGTGTTTGTTGCTCTAAGTGGGGTCTTTCTGGAAAGTAACACATTTCCAAAACGACAAGTGGGTGGAAAATGAAATCGATGACAATCGAGCTTAGCAACAAACTAGAACTGAGAATCTCGGAAGACCTTAAAAGGGCTTCGTGAGAATACTTGATCAAGTTTACTCAAAATGACTTTACAAGTGCCTTAAAAGAGAATTCATTTCTCACAAATCTTTTTGAAGTAAGATCAAGAAAAGGGCTTTGGAAGCGCCTTGAAACTCGGTGTTTGATGCAATAACCCCGTATAGGTATAGAATTCACCAAAGGCTTGGGTTGAATCTTATAAATTTTCTATTAAGTTAGAAATAAACCTAAGACTTACAAGCATACTATTTAATATTAGATAGTAAAGGAATAATGTCTTGTAAGATAGCTACGACAAATCCAAATTCCAAATAATGGTTAGAGGCCATAAAATCTGAGATAGACTCTATGTTTGAAACTTGATTAATTTGCATAAAGGGTGAAAGACCCATCGATTGCAAATTAGTTTTCAAGGAGAAAACTAACAAATGTGGAAATGTATATTCATACATAGCTAGATTGGTTGAAAAATATACAATTAAATTCACGGAGTTGATTTTAATAAATACCTATTCACCTATCGGAATGCTAAAGTCTTTTCGTGATTGTTTTAGCAAAATTGCTCATATGAAATATGGCAAAATAGATACCAAAATCGCCTTCCTAAAATAGGATTTTGGAAGTGACTATGAAAATAGTCTAAGGGTTTTGAAAATCTAAATAAATGCTAGATTTAAAAGCAAGCTCAAGGAATCCGTCATGGGATTAATGGAAGCATTGCATATAGGAATTGGAACATGTTTTCTCATGAAGTTAATAAGAGGATTGACTTATGGAGAAAAATAAAAATTCTTATGAATAAGAAGTTTAGTGGGAGCAAAAGTAAATTATATAAAGGTCCAACGAAAAGTTTATGAACTCTATTGTGAAATAACTGTCAAAAACTAAATGCTTAGATTTGAAAGTAATTTTGACAATGGACCAAGCAAAAGACAATACTTAGTACATATTAGGTATTAAGATCTATTGTATAGACTTAATAAAATGTTTGAACGTGTAAAGGAATTTACTGTGTTAAACATGAATTGAAGGACTTTGAAAGTCTTTCGACCTGTATGTATAAAACTAAGTAAATGTTTGGACTAAGTATAAGCTAGGATAAATACTAAGTCAAACATGAAAGACTCTAATAGAGACTTTCAACCATATCACACAGCAAACAGTTTAGCAAGACTCAGTGAAACTGAATGAGCTAAAATGTCACATGGATGGAATAAGATTGAGAATTACTCTGCAACTTAATCCATCATGTTCGCTATGATATGGAATCATAGCAGGACTTACTTTCTTAGAGAATATGAAGCATGTATGTAGTACCAATCAACCTGAATCTATGTAATAGATCGTTAGATTATGGCCAAGAACATCCAAGTACTTGGATAAGTAATAGGATGAGTTCTTGACTTATGGAAACAAATAAAATTTGAGAATTGATGTTGCAAGCACAAACCTTAACAGAGATTAGATTCTTAACAAGGAAGCCGTTTATAAGCACGAGCTAACAATAAGTCGTGGCTTGAGAATGGTAACATGGACGTGCATCCATGTGTAATGTGCAGGAATTTGAGGAAAATTTCCATGATCACAAGGGATTAGGGTATCCCAAATCATTGTGAGCTGTTTGGAGTGAAACCCAAGCAAAGAATCATCAGGAAGTCTACTAAAATATATGTTGAGAATATTGTTGCCTTAATGGCGATAATAAAGAAGATGTTCTATGGAAAGTTTGTTGCTGAACGTTAATGATTGTAGGTTGTCAAGTTGAAGGTCTCAATCATGAAAATGAGTGGGAGCCATCACTTGGACAATAAATCCTAAATCACATATAATCCATGACACTCTCAAATTTTATCATCTTATTATGAAAGTGATCAGTAATGAAGATGCTAAGATTAGAAAAGTAGTTATAACTAAACCTATGCAATAAGTGAACGACAACATTCACAATTGCATGAAAGAAATCAAGCATATTAGATATGGGTGTGATTTCTATAGATGTTTTATAAAGAGTGATACTCTTAAAACATTTGGAAAAAACCATTTATCATAAGATGAATCATTCAGGTTTTGGAGTAATTTAAAATTTCATGCAATTTTTACACTCCGTTTGCTATTAAATTGTGTAGAATTAAATAATGAGTCCATTCGATTCTTGGAATATTCATAATAGAGTATCAAGACCACTCTTGGTAAGGAAACACCTATTAAGTGAACGTTGAATATTATAATCGAAAATTATCCCTAATCGTGGTCATTTAAACGACGGACGATTTATGACCAGTTGAGATTAGTGTGTAGTTTGATTTATAGCACCGTTTCATGTGCTACGAGGACATGATTGTCATGAATCATTTGCACAGGTATTGGTTTAGAACCATACTGGATCGACCTATGAGAATACTTTAAGAGATTAAAAATCGTCATAAGTATACCTCTCATTATTGCTATCGAAACCTTTTTCCTTGAACATAAGTATTGTGAGCTTTCTTGTTTGAGTACTTGTCCGCTTTGATGATTGTCAAACGTCTGCCGTAACAGGGGATTATAACGGTATCACTCGGGCGGCTAGGTCCTCTTAGTAAGAGAAGCTACATTATAAGACTGGAAATGCCCCCTACTAAAAATAGCGAAGATGTCTTTGTTTTTTACAAGGCCTCTCGTAGAGCGAGACTGTAAAAATGCATGGCCGTGCTCGGATGGATTTTGGAAATCATCTGTTTATTGACAGTCAGACTCGGAATCGAGAAACACTTCTGGACGTAATAAGGATGACAAATAAATCTTACCTTATAGTTCATGAAGAGGCATTAAGCGACATAGGAAAAGGGCTATACACTAAAAGCACACTTGTCCAGAAAAACAAGTGGGAGATTGAAAGGAATAGTGTCCTTCAAACAAGTATATTATTCTGATAGTGGGTTCAGAATTATTAGAAAGCTAATATATTCAATAAGGTCAAGTGATCGGAATGCTTGGGTGGAGGCCACTTTCAATCAGTAATATTAATGCATAATTAATATTACAGTTTAATCTTGAATGAATCCTTTGGGTCACACCCAAGCAGTCAATGAACCAAAGCGACGAATTAATTCGGAAGGAATTAATGAGTCCACCAAGTAATATATTTAGACGTCGAAAATTCGAGTCTGAAGCGTCGAAACCGAGCGTCGAAGAATCTCAAATGTCGAGCCAAAAATTAGGAATTGGCGAGACGGGAAAATGCTTCAAGTAACAAGCAAAATCCCTAGCCACGCAAAAATAAGGGAAGTGCGCCAAATAGGAGCGTGCCACATGGCAGCACACATGACCCACACGTGGCAGCCACTAAGTGGCAACGTGCCACGTTGGCAGCGCATGTGGCAAGGGGGCTGTGGACCCGGGTGACGGGTCATGGACACAGGCCAAAAGAAAGTGGCCCAACCGAACCCAACTTGGGGCTGAAGGTTGGATGACACATGGATATCTCACAATGCATGTGAGTTGCCTTGGGGACCAAGTGAGAAAGTGGTCCTCACCTAACCATGTGACACTTGTTACTTGTTCCTTGGTTTATTTAACTAAGGGTTAAATTCATCAATCTTTCCATGTGGGATCTTTTTGTGAAAAAGTCCCACATTGAAAAATGAGTGGAATTCACAAGCTATCCTTCCTTATAAATAGCCAAAGCATGACTTGAGAATTCTTTGCTTGAGTAGGAGTTTAATAGGGCATTGCCATTGCAAAAAATCTTGAACTCATATAATACATTGGACCTTGTCGGTATTCGTTGGTGCGGGTGGATCATCGTTGGAGGCTTCGTGTTTTCGAAGCTTGCTTTCAAGTAAGAGCCCATTTGGTCGGGCAAAGCACGCTCCGAAAAGTAATCATTTTATCTTAATCTTGTGATTAATTTAATTATGTTTATGGTTTTATTTATTGCGAGTGCGGTCTTTTTTTAGGTTTGTTTCCGCGGTGAGTCGGACTCACTAAACCCCAACAGAGCCCGAGTCCTTCGAAGTCTGGCGAACATTGAGCTTGTGGAGCCTGCCAAGGAGCTTCCTGCAGAAGGAGAAGCAATTGATCTCCAATCTGATGGGAATGATCCCAAGAAGGAGGACCAGGCGAGCCAGCCTTAGTTTTTAGAGGTAGTATGCCAATCTTAGTTTTTCTTTTTTCCGGCCTGTGTGCCGAGTATTTGAATGTTTAATCAATAATTTATATTTTTCCCCGGATTGGTATTCGGTTAAACAATTCTCCCCGGCACTCAGTGGCCGAGTTTATATATGAAAATATCGACTAGGTCAGCTTTCTTTGCACTCTTTATTTTGAATTTGCTCTTTAAATTTGCTTATATATGTCTGAATTTTCTTAACTTATTAAAAGCATGCAGTAGTTAGTACACCGGCTACTCTTGCCCTTGGCGCCTGTGTGGTTGGTTTCAGTACTTTATGATTGATTGACTTGAGAATTTTTTATACTTTAAGGAGTATGAAATGTTCCTAAGTCAATCAATCACAGTAGTGATTGCCCTAAACCAAGTACACAACTGTCCACAAAACCATTAAGTAGCCGTTTTACCCAGCTGGGGAATTGGCTAGACCATAGCCTTGTTCCTCTGCCTGGGATATTTGTAATTCAATTAAATTTTCTTTTGATAAATCTGGCAGTGAATTTATGCCTGGCAGTTGATGAAGCAGGCGACAAACGGTCCGCCTGACATATGGTCCCCAGACAACTTTAAGGCCGTCTGGTGCAATCCATTGCACTTTTTCCGTCAGCCCTATTAGGAAGACTTATACAATTTCGTCGAATAATCTAACTCAGAACTTTGGTTATCAACCGGATGATGTCATTTGACATCTGGTTTTAAGCTTAATCATTCTTTAGACTATTATGGGCAGACAACTATAAGTTGACCAATTAGGTCGTTCAATCTTTGTCGTCTGCATATGCTTGTAGAGCAAATGTTAGAACGCCCTCTGCTACGATAACACTCGGAGGGGCGTCGCCGGACGCCATACTCATGTTGGAGCAAACGTATTTATAAAAATAAATTTATATCCGGCCATTGGCCTCTTAATTTAAGCACTGATTTAGCCACTAAGTTCTTAACTTAGCTTAATTTATTTAGTTGGACCCTCTTTGTTTTGAACAGACGGTAATTTATTGTTGTGCATGTATATATACGAGGTAATCAAAAGGATTGAAAACAAAAGCAACTTTTTTTCATTGATAGGCTTTTCATTTACAAAAATTTACAAGTCTTAGAAGTAGTACTTTTTCAAGTAGTCTACATTCCAAGTTCTGGGAAGCCGCCTGCCGACTAGAGTTTCCAGGCGGTAGGTGTCGTTTCTTACTTACTCATAGATCCGGTAGGGGCCTTCCCAATTAGGAGTTAGCTTCCCCTGCTCATTGGCCCTACCGGTTTCCTCCATCTTTCGTAGCACAAAGTCCCCAACTTTCAAGGGTCATTTGTGTACTCTCTTGTTATAGGTCGGGTCATCCTCAAACAGTAAATCTCATGGCGTAGGGCAACATTGCCCCTTCGCTCCGGGAGTGAGTCCAATGATAGCCGCATGGCCTCTTAGTTTGCCTCTTCATCATATAACATGACTCGTAGAGTTGGCTCATAATGTTCGATGGGCAAGACGGCTTCAGCACCATAAACCATGAGAAATGGGGTTTCACTGGTTGCCCCTTTTTCAGTTGTCCGGATGGCCCATAGGACATGAATTAACTCTTCAACCCATAAACCACCAGCTCTTTCAATTTTCTTTTTGATACCGTCTGAGATGAGCTAGTTAAAGGCTTCAACTTGGCCATTTACTTGGGGTTGGTTGACTGACGCAAAACAATGTGAGATCCCTTGATCTCCTAACCAAGTCTTAAGCTAAGGCGTCTCAAACTAAGGACCATTATTAAACACCATAAACATAGGTACCCCAACCAGGTGATAATGTTCTTCAAGATGAAGGAGATGACATCCTTTGTCTTGATGCCCTTGGTCGCCTCTGCTTCCACCCACTTGGTGAAATAATCCACAGCCATCAAAATATAGCGCTTTCCGCCTGGTGCAGGCGTATAGGGACCTAGCTTGCCAAATCTTTGACACTTGTCACATTTTCTAACAAACTCCATGGCGTCTGACTCAAGAGTGGGCCAGAAATAGTGTCGCCTGGCTCTGACGGCCAAGGATCTGCCGCCTCCATGCGAGGCGCAGTATCTCGCATGATATTATTCAAGAACTTCTTTCCCCTTTTCTAGGGTAACACACTTCAATAGAGGCTTCAAAAAACTTGCTTTGAAGAGCTCTCCTTGTCTTATCTTGAAGTTTGCAGCCGGCTTCTTCAGTATGACCGCCTCCTGGGGTGAATCAGGGAGTGTGCCGTCTGTCAAATATGCTCGAATGCTATCCATCTAGGTAGAGCTTCAGTCAAGTACTCCAATGGGCTCTTCATCAAATATACTCTTTTTTTTCCATAACTTCCCAGAATAATGACCGAGGCGTATCACAGGAGGCGGAGGATGCCAATTTTGACAACGCATCCGCCTGATGGTTTTCAAACCTAGGCACTTGACTTAGATGAAATTTTTTTTCAAGTATCCCAACTTAAGCTTTGACCACCTGCAAATATTTGATCATAGCCCGATGGGTGGCGTCAATCTTGGTTGCCCCTGCCGCTTTGCACATACGGATGCCGACTAGTAGGGCTTCATATTCTGCCTCATTGTTTGAGGCTTGAAACTTGAAGCGTAGTGCATATTCATATTTATCTTCTTTCGGAGACTAACAGATTATACCTGCACCACAGCCGTTCATAGTAGAGCTCCCGTCTACATGCACCTTCCAAACCTGATCAAGGTTGTTTGGAGCAACCAGCCTTGTCATTTTGACAATGAAGTCGGCAAATGCCTGACCCTTCACTGCCTTTTTTGGTTCATAGGTGATTTCAAGACTCTAAATTTCAATAGCCTATTTGAGCATTCTACCGGATGAGTCCAAGGTTGTCATTAGCCGCTTGAGGGGTTGATCTATATAGATCACCACCGGATGTGCCAAGAAGTATGGTTTCAACTTCTTAACAACCATGTACAGAGTAAGGTCAAAATTTTCAACCATGGGGTACTAGAGTTAAGCATTTATGAGAACATGGCTAAGGAAATAGACCAGGAGCTTAATGTCGTCTTTCTCAGCAAGGAGAACGACACTAAGGGCATGATCTTAGACGGCTAGGTACATATATAGCGTCTCCCTTGGCAAAGGGCTAAGAAGCCTTGGCAAAGTGTGTAAATGTACTTTCAATTTCTATAAGGTTGCCTCATCATCATCCCCCCATTTAAATCTAGTCTTCTTCCTGATTGTTTGGAAAAAGTAAAGGCATTTGTCACCTGACCGGTTGAGGAATCTCCAAAGCACAGCCAAACAATCGGTAAGCCTCTGAGGTTCCTTGACAGAACGAGGTGACTTCATGTCAATCACCGCCTTTATCTTCTCGGGGTTAGCCTCTATCCCCCTTTAATCAATCGGGAATCCGAGAAATTTCCTTAACTCAACACCAAAAACAATTTTTTTAAGATTTAACATGACCATATGCCTCCTGAGTGTGGTGAAGGTTTCTCGGAGATCAGCAAGGTGATCCGTCTGTAGCTTGGATTTGACTATCATGTCATAAATAAACACCTCTACATTCCTCCCAATTTGATTAATGAAGACTACATTAATCATCCGTTAGAAAGTAGCTGGCGAATTCTTTAAGCCAAACGACATCACTGTATAACAAAATAACCCCTTATTAGTGACAAAGGCCGTCTTTTCTTGATCTTTTTTCCACAGAGGTATCTGATGGAAGCCGGAGTAGGCATCCATAAAGCTCATCAAGGCATGCTCGGCTGTAGAGTCAACCAGACTGTCGATCTTTGGAAGCGGGTAACTGTCCTTTGGGCATGCCCTGTTCAAGTCAATGTAGTTAACACACATACGCCAAGTACCATTAATATTCTTCACAAGCACGACGTTCACAACCAAATCAAGGAAGTTACATGGCCGAATGAACCCGTCGTCTAATAGCTTTTTGACCTCGGCAGCTACCGCCTGACTTCTTTCCTTGCCGTGATTTCTTTTCTTTTTCCGGATGGGCTTCTTTTTAGGATCCGCGGTGGGTTTTCGGACAGTAAGATCTGGGCTGATGACTGACATCTCTTCCACTTCAAAGGCAAATATGTCTTTGAATTCTTTAAGCAGGAGGTGCAAGTCTAAACCCAACCTTTCAAAGGCAGCCGTCCCCACCTTAACAGTTCGCTCAAGACGGCTGTCATCAAGAGTAATATCAATGTGCTCGCCAGCCGGCTGGTGACAGAGATCATCTGACGGTTCCCTGGTAAGTGATTGCTATTTCTTCTCCTTTTTCTCCTCCACCAGTTGATCAATTTTTTTTTTCTTTGTAGCTGCTGGTAGGGGTAAATTAGGGTCTTTGACATAGTCAAGGTCTATTGGCTCCCACTAGTAGAAAAACATAAATAGGCACTGAATAAATGGCACTAGTTTTTAAGAACCGGTGGTAAAAAAAATTAGGCGGAATCAGTATAAAAGAAATGCCACTAGTTCAAACCAAACCGGTGTCAAATTGGTGAAATGGCACAGGTTTGAACCGGTGGCAATTCATTAATGTAAAAAAAAAACGCCCCTTTAGTTTCTTTCTCTTTCCTCAATCTCGAGTTCTCTCTCTCTTCTTTCTCCTGTCTCCTCAACTAAGATCTCCCTCTTCTCTTTCTCTTTCCTCTCTCCTCAACTAGATCTAGGGTTTCTGATTTCTACTCCACCTCACCCTCGTACATCTGCTTTTTCGGTGGCCGTCCCAATCAAGTCCGAAACAAGGTTCTCTATTCCGGCGGCTTCAACAGTTCAACATGGTTGGTAGTACTGTAGCATCGTTTATTCCAGGTAATTCGCTTCTACATATTCAATTTCTTATCAATTTTGGGTAAAATTAGTCTATGAATTTATATAATCAACTATGAGAGTCGATTGATATAACATGCAAGGTAGAAAACCCAATTTTTTTACCGAATTATTTAAAATGTGAGCATTTATAGGAGTCGATTGATATAATCAATTAATCCTGTCACACTATATTTGGTTCGGTTTCTCTTTTTTTTCAATTGTTTTGCGATTCTTTGTTATTGGTTTAATATGATTATTTTTTTGCTGATTCTGTATTGAATTGTTGTTTTATTTTTTATTTTATTGTGATTTTTATTGCAATTTCTGGCAATTTTGTTGACTGATTATACTCTATGTTTGAGTTGGGTATGCAAAATTAAAGATTTTCCACCCAAGTTGGGTATACTCGTTTATTTTGTTTTTTGGTTTTTGTTTGGTTATGAATCTGATGGGTTTTTGATTTGTTGTGGAATTAGTTTTGTTTGTTGGGTTTCAGGGATTGGGATTGATCTAATTGGATTGGGATTTTGTGGGTTTTCATTGAATTATTGTAATTTAATCTTATAATGTGGAACTGTGATGGGTTTTTGAGATATGGTTGAGTTTGGATTATGAGCTTAATTTGGGTGTTTTTATTTTTGAGCTTAATTTAAGCTAGTATTCTCTGCCGGTTTAATTAAAACTACACTACTTCTTGTCTTTGATTAATACACACTCTGAGATCTCTTATCTTTGTTTGTTGATGCAAGTGGCTGTCTGAGATGTTATCTATATTGAAGCGAACAAAGGGGCAGTTAAGTGGGTGGGAATAAGTGATGCTTTTTCCACAGAGTTCGACCTTGAGGCAAAGGAGTCTTTCCCACTTCCTAAAGGAGAAGTTCACAAAACAAAACAAAAAAAAAAAGGAAATTGTGCAGGTTTGTGATGTGATTGTTTAGGTGTTTTGGATTTATTTTTGTTCTCCTCTAGCTTAATTTGGGTGTTTTAGATTTTTTTTGTTCTCCTTCAGCTTAAGTTCATTGAGACAAATTATGAGCTTAATTTGAGTGTTTTGTATTTTTTTTGTTCTCATTCAGCTTGGGATTGTTTGGAATGGTTTTGTGAGTATACTAGTATCAAATGTGATTTTGTTTTGTGCGATTATAATAGTATCTATTTTGTTTTGTGATTTTGTTTGGGATTGTTATGTTGGATGATTGCTTTGTTTGTAATGATGATGATTTTGCTACTTGGATTTGAACAAGATCTCGAAAAGATGATATTTTTGGTTGTTTTGGTGGATTGATTGGTATGATAATTGATTTCTCTTTGTTCTTGGTGTGTTAATTGAGGTTATGTGTATTAGAATGAATTTTTAGAATTACTCTTTGTTTCCTTTTCTTTAGTTCCTGTATTTTTTAGAGTGCGTGTTATCAGGTTTATGTAGCTACTCATAACAAACTTATGTAGGCGTTCGGCTTAAGATGAGCACTGTAATATTTATAGAGATGAGCAGTGCAATAACAAACTTTCTTGTGTCCTTATTGATTTGAATGATTTTGAGTCAAGTTTTGTGATTTTACTGCAGTGATATACAGATGGGATAATTGTAGATCAGTTCCTGTTCTTAATAAAAAGAAGACTATAGCTATGTATGAACAACTTTACATCTTTGTCATAAAATGTGGAAGTGTTAGTTTTAAGCTTGTGTAAATGTGTATTTGATCCCTATTGTGACTTGCCTAGATGGGAGAACCTTAAATTTTGAGCCCCGGGTTTTTGGAAATAAGTAATATATAGAAGTGGAGTTCAAAAGAGAACATTCATCAAAACCAAGTCTGACTCTAACAATTGCACCATTTTTTTTTCCTTCATAGGACTACAACAGTACAACTCACTAGTAGTCATGACTCAGTAATTTTTTTAATTTTCAATATGACTTTGATTGTTTTTAAGTAATGTTAAGTGTATGGTAGTGGGTTTGGATGCTTGTTATTGGTTGTATTATGGGTAAAATTCAATTTAGAATGTTGGCATAATACTTAGATTAAATAAAACAATTGAATATTCTACTTTTGTAAAATGAAATTTAAAAATTGAAAGAATAAAGAAGCATTTTAGGAAAAGTAGACTTCTATTTATGCATTACATTCCTGGATCTGTTTAGCCGTTGCCTTGCAAGGCTGCTGCTGCAGCCGCTGCCTCGTAAGGCTGTTGCTGCATGCTTCTACGCCCTGCTACTGTTCTGATCTCCTGATGTTGCTGCTATGCTCTACGCCACTGCTGTAATACTCTCGCTGCTGCTAATCTGCTCTACACTACTGTTAATTTGGTTCTGTTTTGCTGTCATATTTGCTTATAAAATTTTCATTTTTGTAATTTTTTTTTTATTTTTTTTATTGAGTTGTGCCTCAAAATTTTGTTATAACATTCATAGTTTCTGCGTATTTCAAAAGACAAAAAGAAAGATGATTCTTGCAAAAATCTGTTTTTTTTTTTTAATGGAATACTAATAATAAGAAATTAAGAATAAAGAGGTCCTATTGGCTGTGGGAATTCAGAAGGTTGGACAGTGAGATAAGGGTATGCACGTGTATGTCTAAAAGCCTTACACTTGACTTAGTTGGTAGTTTGAGTTTACGTGTATCAGTATGTACCTCATGCACAATTTTGAGGGTGGATGTATTGGAGAGGTTTCGAGTGATTCCAGTGATAGGAGAAGGGTTTGAGCCTGTTTATGTTCCTCAATTGACGACAAATATGCAAGTTGGTTTGTTGGTAAGGATTGAAGAAAGAATCAAAATTTGAATGACCGAATTGAATTGTTGAATTCTAATGCTATATTGTCTTTTTAAGTCTAATACAGAGTACATTTTCGCCTTGATTTCTCCTTTTCCGTAAAAATGATTATTTATTATAAGCAGACTTTCAGGTAGTGTACCAAACTAAGCTTTTTATTAGATTGAAATTTTAACATTTAGTTTTTAATAAAGCTCTCTGCTCTCTCAAGCCTGATCAGGATGATTTCCTTGCTAATTAAGGGGTTCAAGCTGCGATTTTCACAAATTTGAAGATGCTAATGCAGGTGAACTCTGCAATGTATACTTCTAAACTCATTTTTCAATGATTTAATGATATCATTTCATGTGCTTAAATGACTCGCCTTTACTGTGTGTTGCTTCCTTTTTGGATAAAAGAAAAATTAATAAGTTATTAAGCTCGGTGCTTTATTAGTTTTTCTGAACTTTGAAAAACTTGTTTTTGAATAGTGATAAGTCATAGGTTATATTAATTGTTAGGAAAGATTTCAATTATGACGTCGTTTTGTATGTTTAAGAGAGATACAACAATCTATAATTTGAATGTGCTGTACATAAATTTGGTAGAGATATGGCGGTAAGAACTTTGTTTGCTAAGGCAAGAGCTAACCTCCCATCAAAAATATTGTTTGATGAATAAATGGACAGTTAGGATTAAAAATCAGGTTTACTAAGCAGTGCTATAATGTTTTTGCCTTAATTACATGATAACTTGTACCTACTACCCTAATTAAATGATCATTGGCTGCTTTCAAAACAAGATGAGGAATTTTATCAGTTGTTGAGGCTGTTCGTGTGATTGTGGACCGACACACAAGTCTTGAAAAAGGGATAGCTTATGTATTGTTCAAAACAAGGGTGTATGCCTTATTCTCTGTCTGTGAAACCACTAGCAAGGCTGCTACTGCTGTCCTGCAGCAACTGGCTCGCAAGGCTGCTGCTGCCTCGCAAGGCTGTTGTTGCTGCTGCCTTGCTAGGCTGCTTCTACCCGCTTCTATGCTCTTGTTGTTCTTATGGTCTACGCTACTGCTTCTATGCTCCTTCAGATGCTGCTGCTATACTCTACACCACTGTTGCCAATCAGCTCTACGCTACTGTTGTAATATTATTGCAGTCGATCTGTTACAATATAAAACTATATTCTTTTTTTTGAATTAAAATTGTAATGCTACAGCTTTATATTAATAAAAATTATAAGTTAATATATATGTAAGTGTTTATATATCAATTTAATTTATAAAAATGCAAAAAAAATAAAAAAATTAAAATTTTTTGGGGCATTAAGGGCACCGGTTTTGAACCGAACCGGTGCTAAAAACTGTATTATTGGCACCATTTTTGAAGTGAACCGGTGGCAAAATTTTCACTTTTTGGCATCCCTCACATAAACACCGGTTCAAAACCAGTGTTATAAGGGGGTTTTGAACCGGTGCCCTTTTACAATTTTCTATTAGTGTCCTTCGGCTGACAAGCAACAACAACCTTTGGTTTGACGTCTGAGAGGTAACACTCCCTTGCCGTCTTTTGATCCCTGTTGACTTGTTGAGGGAGTCAACAGAGCCATTATCCTTTTCATATTTAAGAAGCATAAGAGTTGGGATGATGACGGCCTTGCACTCGTTCAAAGTGGGCCGGCCAAGAATAATGTTGTAGCTAGGCGGTTAGCTCTTTAACCACCAGCTTCAAATTAGAGCAGGAAACATGCTCTTAAGAGTAGGTCGTGCATTTCTGCAGTACATCACATACATGTATATCAAAGTTGAAAACACAAGGTTAGATTTTTTCTGGCAAAATCAAGATACAATAAGAGGTGATCTTTATAGAGGAATTCTAGACACGGTAGAGAGTGGCCAGACAAGTGCAACTAATGTTGGTCATAAGTTCATTCTGCCACCATCATTTATAGGAGGCCCTTGTGATATTAAAAGGAGATATCTGAATGCAATGGCTCTTGTGCGGAAATACGGGAAACCTAATCTCTTTGTCACTATTACCTGCAACGCAAATTGGCCAGAAATAAAAGCCGAACTAGAGCCCGGTGAGACTGCACAAGACCAGCCAGAATTAGTTGCTCGTATATTTCGAGCAAAATTGATTGCTCTGAAAAAAAATAAAGAAAGACAAGGTATTTGGTAAAGTAGCAGCAATGATATATGTCATAGAATTTCAGAAAAGAGGATTGACACATGCTCATTTCCTCTTGATTCCGGAGCAACAGCATAAGATGAAGTCTCCTGCTGATTATGATAGATATGTTTGTGAGAGATACCTCCTGTTACTCAGCCTGAGTTGCGTAAAATCGTGTTAAAGCATATGATGCATGGACCATGTGGCCACTTAAATCCAGAGTGTCCTTGTATGAGAAAGAAGGATAATGTTGTTTCTTATAAAAATGGGTATCCAAAACAATTCACCGCACAAACAACAACAAATAAAGATGGTTATCCTTGCTATAAGAGAACTGATACTTGAAAACAAGTGAAAGTCAGAAATGCTTAGTTAGATAATCGATGGGTTGTCCTTTATAACCCTTACCTCGCAGCACTCTTTGATTGTCATTTGAACGTAGAAGTTTGTTCAACTCTTAAAGCAGTGAAATATTTATATAAATATGTTTACAAGGGACATGATCGAGTGGCCTTCAATATTTCGGCCGAAGATAAAAAATTCTAACGATGAAATTGCTCAGTTTCAGTCAGGGAGGTGGGTGTCACCATGTGAGGCAGCTTAGAGAATTTTTGGATTTGATTTATTTGAGATTCATCCACCAGTCTTACCTTTGTCTATTCATATTCCAGACATGAACACTGTTTGTGTACGCCCTTATGAACGTTTGGATGTTGGTATTGCAAGCGGTGTTTATGCTAAGACTCAATTAACCGAGTTCTTCCGTACGAATGCAGCTACTGATAATGGTCTTGGTTACTCATATGTAGAATTTCCTGAACACTATAAGTGGGATGCTTCAACAAAACCATGGTCCAAACGGCAAAATAAAAAGGTGATGATTAGGCGATTAGCTTTTGTCACTCCTTCAGAGGGTGAACGCTTTTACCTTTGGCTTCTATTACTGAATGTCAAAAGTCCAAAATCTTTCACAGACCTACGCACAGTTGAAGGTTATGTGTGTGCAACTTTCAAAGAAGCATGTCTTAAAGCTGGCATTTTGGAAGAGGATGATGCTGCAAGCATTTGTTTGGCTGAAGCAATTGAAATTCAGCTCCCTGGGGCTTTACGCCGACTATTTGCAACTGTTATTATATTTTGTCAGCCAAGTGACCCTGAAGAATTATGGCACAAATATTATTCTGCATTGTCAGAAGATTTTGCACAGCAATACCCTGGTGTAGAAAGCAAAATTAAGAGATTTACTGTCAGATCAGTAGAGCAACAGCTAGAGGCCATGGGAAAGTCATTATCTGCCTGTGGTTTGGCTGTTTTAATGGATGACAATGATAAAGAGATTGATAGAACAAAAGACATTCAAGATGCCTTAGATGCTCCGATTCCTCAGGGTTGTATAGACAGCCGTCGCTTGCCAAATACCGCACAAAAGGAAAGTTTTACTTGTATTATGCAGCATATAGTGGAAGGAAAACCAGGGGCTTTTTTGTAGATGGTCCTGGTGGAACCGGCAAAATGTTCTTATATAATGCACTATATGCTGAGATTCGCCTTATGAATAAGATAGTTTTACCTACTGCTACATCTGGAATAGTCGCTGCAAATATTCCATCAGGTAGAACAGCACACTCAAGATTCAAGATTCCAATGGATAGTGATGCTTCATTAGCGTGCAGCATTTCTAAGAAAAGTAGCTTAGCAGCATTAATAAAGGAAACATTGCTTATAATCTGGGATGAAGCATCAATGGCAAACAAGCAAATTCTAGAATCTCTTGACCTTATATTGCAAGACATATGCGATAATGATGTACTATTTGTTGGGAAAGTAATTGTCTTCAGTAGAGATTTTCGACAAGTGTTGCCTGTTATTCCTAACAAGACTCATAGAGAAGCAGTCGAAGCAAGTGTAGTGAGTAGTTATATATGGCAGTATTTGAGAAGATTCAGATGAACTGAAAATCTAAGAGCCAAGGAGGATCCTTCATTCTGTCAGTTTTTACTTTCACTAGGAAATGGTAAATTGCAAACCATGGCAAGTGATTTTGTTCGGTTTCCTCCACAGATAGTGCAAACTTTCCAGCCCGACGCTGATCCAATAGATGAGTTACTTCAATCTTCTTTTCCATAACTTGGTTCAGGTGCTCTAGATCCTCAGATCTTTTCAAGAAGGGTTGTTCTAACACCTATAAACAACGACATTGATACTATAAATTATTTCATGATCAAGAAATTCCCAGGACAAGCCATCTCTTATACAAGCTATGACAGTATTCTAGATGATAGTGGCAGTGTATATCCTACGGGATTCCTAAATAAACTATGTCCAGGGGGAATGAGTCCTCACAATCTGTGCTCAAAGAAAATTGCCCAGTAATATTACTTAGAAACCTCCTTCCCTCTTCTGGTTTATGCAATGGAACACGCCTTATATGTAAAAGGTTTTTCCCTAATTTAATTGAGTGTGTGATTTATGTCGGGCAATATCAAGGAGAACATGTTTTCATACCTAGAATTAAACTCAGACCATCAAGCTCTCAGAAATATCCTTTCCTATTTCAGAGGAGCCAATTTCCTATCAAGTTGAGCTTTGCAATGACTATTAACAAGTCACAGGGGCAAACTTTAGATCAAGTGTTAATTTATCTCCCTCGCTCGTAGTTTTCACATGGACAGCTATGTGCGGTACTTTCACGTGCACGATCTGCAGATAAAGTGAAGGTTATATTGGTAGCTCCTACTTTACAGCATTCAGAGAACTCTGTTAAAAATGTTGTATCTTATGCGGTCCTAAAGCTAGCAGGAGTAATCTAGGCAGCTATGCACTAACCAAGCTCGGTAAGCTAATTTATTCTATGTTCAACTTTTGTTCAAATCAATCAACAGTTTTAAAACTTAAATGAGCATCAATAAATAGCTTATCATTTTTGCATTGCAGGGCAGAAATTTTGAAGTGAAAGCTAATTTGATTTGAGGTTTCTATACTATCTCATGCATAAAGTTATACCTTTTTTTTTTTATTTTTGGGTTTTTTTACATTGTTTTCCTCAAATATGACATTTATTTATTCTGTATGGATTTTCTTCAGCAGATTCTTCGTTTCACTTTCAATTCCTTGTTCTGCTGTGGTGGATATATTTACATGTCACGGGCACAAAAGTAGTTATGAACTCATCTGGTGTGTTCTATAAGCTAAACTTGAGTCTTCAGCCTCTCATATTATGAATAATTCTTGCATCATGAGCTTGATGCATTGCTAGGGATGACCTATTAATCAATGCTCTTACAAACTACAAGATCTAAATAGTAAGCACTCATACTCCCAATTTTCTTTAATTGTAGACTTGTAGTAGACAGATGATGGGTGGGATTAAGATGTTATCTTATTCTGGAATGAGGAGAAATTGATTCAAATGGCTTTATGGTTGCAAAATTAGACATTCCATGATCCTTATGCCACTGAACTATGTCCTTTGCATGTACAGTACATAATATTTTAAATTTCCTCTTTGAGCCTCTTATTTTAATATATCTTTCCCTCTCTAATGATAATTTTAATATCTCTTTAGCTCTCTAATGATAATATATGAGTAGTTCCAATTGCCTACATGTATTTTAAAATTAGCCTACATGTATTTTTAGAATTTGTTCCAATTTTCTTGTGTTGGATGTTCAAGTTTGGATCAAATTTATACTTTTATAGGGGGTTGAGACAATTTCAAGTTGGTGGTCAATCATAATAGTCGATTAGAATTAATGTCATATCACTATAACTACAGATGAGAAAGAAGAACCAAAGACAGTCGTGGAGAACAAGAACGTGGCAGAAATTATTAAGGAATGGTATCTAGGCAACATTGGATTTTGCATCGTTCAAAAAGGTACTTGCTAAACTTCTTAGTTGTTAATTCTGAGTTAATTATGAGTTAGGTCCTGCGAATTGCTCCTTCGTAGCCTTATAATTAGTTGTTAAATTTGAGACATATTTGTGAGTTTAACGACAACTAATTAAGCATTAATATGATAATGATTATGTGGTGTTAATGAAAGGGATTATTTCTTTTTCCAAGAGGATGATTTGATTTTTGAAATGCAGGTGTCAAGTTATAAACCAGTTTTAATTGAGTTTAAATTGGTCGTTAGTTATGAATTAATTATAAGATCGAATCTAGAAAGTGGCACTTCAGCCAAGCCTTCAAGACCAATGCGCTTATAGATGAACTAAGGTAATTTGCTGAGTCTTATATATGTAAGAAATTCTGACTGAAAATGTTTTTAGATTAATACTTAGCTTTATTTACTATGCAGGAAACTTGTGCTCAGGGAAAAATAGAATATTTGTCATTCTTTGGCATATATTAGGATTGCTTTAAAATGTACATTTAAAAGCCCAAAATTTGTTGTTCTTGTGGGTTTTAAAAGCCTATAGGCTTACATGGCAGCCCATTAAGGTGAAATGTACACAATCTGTGTTCAAGCATGAAATAGAAATTGATATAAAGAACTATGAAAGATTTCAAATTTCAATATATATATATATATATATATATATATATATATATATATAAGGAGTATATATTACATAGACTAATGCTATAAGTTTTAGGTCTGATATGATTTTGACATATTGTAGAAACCATTCCCTTAAAAAGGGAAGATTATACTACAGTGTTTTACTAAAGTGTGGCTGTCATGAATTCAGATCTTTTACAAAAAAAGTTTACTATTATTCTATTTTAAATAAAGAGAGTAGACTTTTCCAAGGTTTAAAAATTAATTTAAAAGTACAATGGGAAACTAGAGTTCTTTACCAGAGGTATGGTTGAACAGTACAAACTGTAAGAAGATTGAAAAAATTACCATTGGTAATCCTGACTACTGTTACCAAAACCTTTCCCAATTACTAAGTTCTATTTTGTATTCTTAAATTCTGTCCTAACTTATATAAAGACATTTGCTCCTTAGAATTTCGATTTTTCAGAGGAAAATCAAACAAAGGAGCACTGACTTAGTTAGCCATGGCAGGTTTGGTTTCTGCTTTTACAGATTAGTTACATAATCCTTTACTATACTTATTCTTACTGTTTTTGCTACAGAAATTCCATATTATCTGCTTGTTTACTTAAGATTAGATATTTATTATTGTTATGTTTGATATTATCAATGTAGCACTCCTATTATACAAAATAATATAGAAACGTTTGTATACACAAATCAAAAATACAAAGCAGCTAGGTAGAAGCCAGAGTATATGTACTTGAATCAGTTAAATGCAGCAAGCAAATCTTATATACTAAGGGTGGTTGTTGCTGAAAAGGGAAGGGACACACTATCTTCCAAAAAAACAGTTAGATTCCAAATTTTACTGCTAAAGGACGAAAAGGTATACATTTATTACTTTATATATGTGAAGATCATGCTAACTCTATTAAATTTATGATGGAACTAAAATAATATGCCTAACTATAATCTAACCTATGTCAAGCACTATGGTAGGCTGTACATTTATTACACATACAAATAGTATAAAGCATCTTAAATCTGATTACATTAGTTTAATTATTCTTATAATAATCTGTTTATGCTATAATCATGCTCTTTCTTATACTATAATCATGATTTATTTTAAGCTATTTAGATTTATCGTACAAGACAATCAAAACATCTTTTAAGTATGCTACTTTGAGTAACTTTGAATAATTATGCTATTTTGATAGGCTACTTTGAGTAACTATCTTTTAAGTATGTTTAACTTTTGTTCAAATTATTCAAATTAACTTTCTTATTCTTTTATAAAATATAAATACAATCAATGCTAAAAACTATTTGATTTGGCAAAAATTATTTTAAACAAAACACACATTGTATGTGATTTAAATTAAATGTAGGATTAGCCAAACGAAACAAGGAGTAGATAAACGCTTTAAGTGATTTTTAACCAAATTTCAAAGCACTACCTCTGTCCGAACTTTCTGTCAATGTGTCCTCACAATTTTGAATGGAGGGAGTAGTAATTTAGCAATGAAAGAAGAAAGAACATACAAAGAATTGCATAGAAACAACGTTGGATGTATGGTTAAAAATCTGGCAGCAGAACTATAACATAATTATTAAGCTGAGTTAACTTCATTATCATATTGTGTTTTATAGGGTAATAAGATGCGTGGAACTTTATTCAGTGATCAAATTGAAGCATTTGAAGAAGCATTACAGTACCTAGGTGCATACGAAATTTCTGCTGCACCTATTAAGTTCATCGACAAAAAATGGAGAACTGAACTTGATCAGTTTCCTTACCAAATGACTTTTGGTAGTAAAACTGTGATCCAGCCAGTTCATCCAGAGCTTGGACCAATTCTGCCTAACTATCAACCAATAGCAAGTATACCTCGTGCGGTTGATCCTAACAAACACCTCTGATTTCACAGATATCGTCGGTGTGGTGTTATTTGTGGAAGAAGAGCCAAGGAAAATCGAAGCTAGAAATGGAAAGATGGAAAGCTTGGTGCGAGAAATAGTCATTACTGATTAAAGGTTAGAATCAAAACAGCTTAATGTTCATCTATACTAACAAATATTATTTAATACATATTACAAATTGAATCACTAACAATAAACCTGGTATGTAACAGTTGTGTTCAACCGCTTACCATCTCGCTTTGGAATGATCTAACAACACCAAAATACTTAGACAAATTGCTTAATTGGGCAGAAGCATTCAAGGTTATAGGTTTTAGGGCTCTTAAACCATATACTCGCCGTGGTAAGACAAAAGCTATATTCTTTAGGTCATTAAAAAATTCATTACTAGAAGTAAATAATCACTATCTGTTTTATTTAGGTTTTTCTATGAATTCTGGTATGTCCACTCAAATAATCTATGAACCTGAGTGAGATCGTGCACGTGCGCTGTCTGATTGGTAATCTCCAAAACTTAACTCAACAAAAACAACAACTTTTCTAGTATGCTAATCATCTTTACAATAAACAATGTGCATGGCTAACTTGTTCTATCAAAAGGTAGTAGATAGGCAAGCTAGAGTATTGGAAGTTAGGTACCCAAGTGAAGAGAAAAAAATACTTTCAATTGATGAGCTGAAACAAAGAAAGGTGAACATTACTTCATTACAGTCTCTTCTAACAAATTCATAGCTTAGTAGTAATTAACAGTGCCGGATTTAACTTTTATTTTGTAAATTACAACATATGTGTAGCCAAGCAACACTTTACAGGATGAACTTCTATGGATAGAAGTAACCATTCAGTATGCAGAATTAGAAAAAGTGAATGCATATACAGGCTATTCGAACTGCTGGAAACGCACCAATCTTCCATTGCAGAAGCGCTATTCTTGCTCTTCTTGTTCAAAGAAAGAATGCATTTCCACTAATAGGTATAACTCCAGCTCATTTTTAGAACCGTACCTATTTGTTAATACTGTAGCTAACAAAAATCATCACACCACTCTGCCAGGATTACTTTTAAATTTGAGGCAAGTGATGACACAGGCACTATGGCATTCACCACATTCAATGATGACACAGAAAGATTGTTCAGGTGTAGTGCAGCTGAAATCTATGCCATAAAAGAAGCAGTAAGTTACAATTATTGTATACTAACATTCTAATTTTTAGAATAGTTTACGAATACTCTGTAAACTTTGAAAGAATACATGAAAGTTCTGACTTCATACATTTTTATTACAAGCAACAATATAGTTGAGCCTAGGATTACTCAAGTTGGATTTAATCTCTCTGATATTGAATATGTCCACAGCTACTACTTCTCAAGAAAGTGATTATTATGGATATCAAAATGGAAAATTAGGGTCATTTAATGGGGATGCAAAAGCAGCTTATACTATACAAATTAAAGGACCCTAATTTTACAGCAGCTTGTACTTCAGAAATTATATACAGTTTTGCCTAGGTGTTTAAATTACTAGTCTTAAAACTCTTGGTTCAGCTAACTATACTAAAAAAAAATTCTCACAAAAAAAAAGAAAGAAAAAAACTATACTATAATTAGTTGATCAACTCCACCTATTTTTGCTTCTTGTATCCTTCCATCAAACCTTTATCTGATTAATTTGTGCTATCAAAAATACTAACTGCTAGCTCTTCATGTGCAGAACAAAATTATGCTATCAATTGAATTGTTTATTTGTTCTTTGTTCTGCTTATAGTTCCAAATTCTACCAGATTTATGTGTTTGTCTTAAGTTTGTGACTTACCAGCTCATATAGCTTTTTCAATGAATAATCAACAATGGAATGTCAAAAAGTCCAGTAAAGATAACATATAAAGCAGTTTATATGTTATGCTTCGGAGAATTAGAACACAAAACAAAAAAAGTAACTTTTGCACAAATGCAAAGTGAAAATGCTTGGCCTTAATAAAGCACAAACTGTAGGGTAATGTTGCTAATCAATACCATCTAGAAAAATATATAAAGAAACGGGAGAGAAAAAATAAGTAAAGAATAAACTGAAGAATAATGCTACTAATTAGTCCCTCCTGGAGAAATATAGAAAGTAATTATTGCCTATGTTTATTATCTATTGTGTTAATGTTGCCATAGTATCGGCATGACTCTTACAAGTTTTCAATTCAATATAGGATAACCACGAAACATTCAAGGTTATAAAAGACATGCTTAGGAGCACACTGTTTTACATTAAAGTAGGCCCGACATTGCATTTAGGGCAGAATAATGTCCTAGAGTGGACTCTCAAGAGTATTAAACTTAAAGAAGATCCTGATACACAGGAAGCGTTGCAACCATTTGATAGCAGCTCTAGCCAAGGAAAAGATGGAAATGAAAAGGATGCACATCAGACTGTGGAATTAGGAAATCCTGAACCAGTCATTCCAACCCCAAACATCAAAAGTTCTTCCCAAATGCATACACAAGAAAACCCTTGCACTAAGACGATTCACCTCAGCAAGATGTCGAATCATTTAAGCGCAAGAAATCTTTAGGGAAAAGCCCTATGGAATTGGAGGATAAAGAAAATGAGTCCGAGCTGCCACTATCACAAATCCGTGCAAAGAAAAAACTTTGCTTTGGCGGAATGACCCCAAAGAAGCACACCGCAGGCCAAGTCCCAGAGATATCTCCACAAAAGGATCATGCAGAAGATGTCCCCACACCACTGGGAACTGGGCAGAAGCAAGCCAAACCTGTAATTGTGAAGACCGAGAAACTGAATAATCTTCCATCGAATCTGCCACCGGAGATGATAAGTCCCTGAAATGCAAGAAAATATATAGTAATCTAATGAAATACTTCACATCAGCTATTTAAGGTGCACTATCCACATATCTTTTAAATCCTAAATATTTTGCTAGACTAAAAATATATAGGCAACTTTAAGAACTTTGCATTGGCTGGAATTACAGAACAGCTCAAAATGCAAAGCATAATAGATAGTTGCCTAGGTATTTTATATAAGAATCCAGCATCATGTAGTACTAAATCTCCAGTTTAATTTCTTAGTTTCATGTATATAGGAGTATGATGCTGTAGAAGGTAATCTTTTGAGGGTTTCCCAAGAACGGAAAACACCGTACTAAGATCATGGCCTAATGTACTGCTACATTAATGTGCATGTTAAATTCTATCTATAAAAATATGGTATTTATATGTGCTGCTTTTATGAAATTTATTTCTATGCTATTTTTATAAAAACTCCTTGAACTTATGGGAGTTAGTCAACAAAGTACAAAGCATAATCATCTTATAAAAATTCACATTAAGTTAGCAGTGAGATAAAAACCACTAATACAGATAAATCACATTAGCTATGTTAAAAAAGATAACACTAACAACATTAATACATTAAACAAGGCTAGGAATTCCAGTACATATTATTAAACAGACACAACCATCCATAAATGCTCCTAACAAAATCTTATTTAGATTTAAATATACTAAAGCAACATAATATACACTACCCATTGAACCAAAGATACTTAGGTTGTAGAAGCTACATAGGTCCAAGCATTAATTCAAAGACAAAAGGATAGCCTTGACGATAAGCCACCAAAGCTCCAACACCATCAACTATGCCCTACTCTTCATAAAACACCTCAACACCATTCTTTAGTGAACAATCAATGATTGTGCTTCCTTCTTTCACCAAATGTAATTCAACACACCACTGCTTTGTTTTACAGCAAAGAAAAATAACATTGATGGGTTGTGCATTCCGAAAATGATTCTGAGCAAATAATAAGGGAACACCCTGCAAATATCCAAAAAAAAAAACATGAAAAAATATTTTTAAAAATAAAATATAATTAACAAACATAAAAAAATAAAAAATGACATTGTAACAAAAGCAATACTTACAGTAATTCCTTGGTGAATGCATTGACGGCTAAAAGTATACTTAAATGATGGATAAGGGCATTGTTGCTGCATTAAACTTAAACGAGCATCCAGTTCAGAAATGCTCAACGAAAGTCTTCTTCGAATTGGGACATTTCTTGTTGTAGGTACATTTATGCAAGTCTTTTCCTCACCATGGACATTAAAGATATTAGTGTGAAATACACCATTGCCCATGAAATAAATAATTAGAGTATCTCCAACTTCAATATCATTATCAGACATAAATTCTTTCCACCCAACATCAATATACATACCACTAATCATCTTTCTAATAGTAGTCTTTTTAATAACCAAATCCCATGAAAGCCCATCTTTTCCGCGGAAAATCTTACAAGGTCCACATTGGTATGCTAGAATGTGTTAAAAGGCAATAGGAACTTCCTAGCAAAGACAACCAAGTCAAACAATCAAATTGACTACAAATTCAAGGACAAAATCTAAAATATTTAACTTTAGAATAGCTTTTAGCAAACCATACAACAGCATCGATCTTGATGTTCTTCATCGACTTTCAAAATCCATTTCATAAGTGCGTTATTACCAGCCTAAGAATTCATATGAAAACCAAAAAATAAAAAATAAGAAAGGAGAAATTCACACATAAACTGAGAACACATAAATTCTTGTTATTTAAAATATTAAAATTTAGACTAATGTTAAGAATAAACATATCATTGTTACTGTCAAATCATTTACACTATAATTAAAAAACAGACATCTATCAAACAACAGATAATGCATTATATAGTAGTTACAATTGCTGAAAAATAAAGGGTACAATGTACATTATATGGCTAGAATAGCTATAAAATGTAGCCATGTGAATCAAAATATGGGAAGGCATCCTTCATGGACTGCAAATACTTCAACTTTGCAGTATGAAATGAAACCACTCTGAGAAAACTTATTAAAAATGTGCACATTCTAAAACCAATTCCCATAAATATATCTTCTCAAATAAGTCACTCAATAATGAACTATAACAATCCATAGCAATAACTAACAATCTGCAAAGTTAAAGTTTA